CAGTTTGTGGGGGAATGTAAGAGGAAGCTTAAAAATCTGGTTTGTCTGAATCCCTGTCAGAGCCCAAGTACTGAGGAGTGCATATGTCATACAAGTGAGAGATTCCATGGTGCACAGGACAATACTTACTTCCTGGGAAAGCTTTTCTCTGCCCCTCTGGTGGGAAAGCAAACAACACATGAAGTTTTCTGAAGGTGATTCCACAGTTTTCAGTCCCCCCAAAGTGGACTTTCTGTCTTTGAAGCTCCAGTTGAGGCAAGGTGACCTGCGAGTACTGTTCAGGCAAGAACTTGGAGCTAGATTTGGCTCTGTCCTGCACCTCATGTAGACGTTTCCACCCCTACACTGCTACTCTGAATAAGTTAGCGTTCTGCATCTGCTTTGCACTGTAGAGAATGACTGCAGAAGGAAAAAGCCAGCATCGAGTCTGGCCTCTTCTCTTGGTAATGCACATCTGAGCTGCTCAGTTCTGAGACTGTGTCTTAGTCCATGAAGCATTTATGGCACTACATTAATAACACTTGAGAACTGGCCCTGCCTTGCTGTGTATGGGCAAGACCTGCTGCATCTCTGTGGTTCTCCTACCTGTAAAAGGGGAGATAATGAGACTTACCCACCTCTTTAAAGCACTTTGAGAGGCAGGAACAAAAAGTCTGCTCTCCTCCCTTTCACCAGGTGCTTGTGAGGTTCTTATTCCCATTGTGCCTGAGCACCTTTCATTGCTTACAAAGATACCAATGTGTTTGGGGCTGCATGTCATGTTAGAGGCCTCATCCTGTTGAGGCTCAGTATTTAGCTGTATATGGAAACTCATTTGGTCTTGTAGAAGAAGGTAAGTAGGCTGTGTGAAAGGGAAGGGACTCCATGGAAGAATGAGAAACCCAGTAGACTGCAGCCAAAGATGTATGTCTTTTACAAACCAGATATTTTTGGCAATGAGTAGGAATGATGGAGTGGTACTTAGCATGAATGCTGCATGCCCCCGGAGGCTGGGGGGTATGGTGAGCTCCCGCAGGCGGTGATGTCGGTGGTGGGAGTGTGGCGGCGGTGAGCAGGGAGCTCCCGCAGGTGGCCATGGTGGTGTAGGCAGTGGGGGTGGTGAGCACTGACCAGCAGTCGGCGACCACCCCCAGACGCTGCAATGGTGTTGGCGGTGAGGTGGGGGGCAGGTGGTGAGCGGCCACTGCCAGCATTGGCAGTGCTTTTTGCAGGGGGTGCACTGCCAAGCTCAGGGGGTCCACGTGCACCCCCTACACATCGCCAGTGGTACTTAGTCACTACATTGTCAGAAATGCCCTACTGCTTCCCTGCTGGCTTTGACTTCTATTGCTTGGCTTACCTGTCCTGAGGCCCTTGACAGTGAAAGAGGAATATAGAATAGTATTAACATCTCCTATAGAGCTGGCAGCAATGAGAGAGTGGGGGAGGGCAGAGTCTCAAATTGTGGTGGGGTCGTATCTCTCAACTTGAGTCTGCTCCTTCTACTCAGAAATGGAAAAAATGTCTAGCTTTTCAGAGGACTCCAGTTTGATTAATGGTTGATGCCACAATTTGGTAAGAGCCATCCAAGGTGCTTTTAAAGTGCCTTTTATTGAGAGAAGCACAACAGCTAATGAATGTGCAAACTAATATTCTTCCCCTGGGCACTAAACCACAATCCGATTTTGATTTGCCTTTCAACTAATTTACTACTTGATGTCTAATTTAACTAAATGAGAAATATGTTGTTGCACTTACTGGGAGTGCAATAGCAAACTCCTTAAGAGACCTTTCCTTTGGGAAAAGCAGCTGAGCTCATGGCTGTGGTCTCTTGTAGGTTGCCTTGTGTTGGACTTTGAGGCCAAGGACTGTTTTAGAGGTTGAGTTAAGTACTGAAGTAGCATGTAGCAGGCCTAAGCCTTGTGCTGGGCTGCTGCAGGGGTGTGAGTTTCATTCCAGCTCAGAGGTTTTGCTGGTGTGTCTAATGGACCATAGGAAATCTTTTTCCTTGTGTGTGCAAGGAGGTGTAGCACACGTGGGATTAAGTTGTTAGGTTCCTTTGCTGTGATTTTGGTGCTTGTTGGGGTTGAAGAACGTTGATTGTTTTTTGGGTTAAAAAAAAAAGTGTGTTGTAAATGAAGATCCAAGAACATTTGAGAAGGCACAGCGACTGTACTCTCTCGGGTGCTATGCAAGGCATCCTGGAGCAGTGGCCTTGTGGAGTTCCTCATGAAAAAATTGTAGTTCATGCATACTGGGTGAATTTCTGAAGAATATCAAGTTTTCTTTTGACCTCCCCAAAGTAAGCGGACAAACTACTCTTTCATTGCTAGGACAGCGTGTAGACAACGTTAATCGGCTCATGGTTGCTTTTGAGCTGGAGGAACCCTGGTGGGTGTCATGCAGTAGGGGAATTTAGATCCCTTTGACAAATGGAGCTTCATTTAAGTGTTACAGCCTTGTTTTATCCAGTCCCTGCATGCTGGTTGGTTGGATAAGCCATCTGGAAACAGTTTCCTCTTCTCTCTTTCCTTGGTTCATTCAGAATTTCTTTCTTTCTGGGCTGTAACTTCGAGTTGGTATTGTGTTTGCACTCTAATGTACAGCTCACTATTTGCACAGTAAACAGAACAGTTTGTTCACTGATGAGGCTTCAGCCCAAGTACCTCTAGATAGCTGGGAAAATATATAGGAGCACTTTACATGTAAGATAAATTAAGGGGTTTGTTGTACCTTCTTCTGCAACATCTAGTACCAGCTGATGTGAGAGATCCTGAATCAGTTGGGTTCTCAGGCTGATCCTGCCATAGTGATTTGCACACTAATTACCTTGTTCCACTGCAGATGCTTTTTCTTTTACTTTCTTTAATCCCTTTGGATTTGGAACCATTTGCAGCGACCTTTACTGTCAATCCTTCAGTCGGTTGCTCACCTCTTTCAGTTGTTGTGTCTCTTCAGTGCTGCACTGTACTTCCTAGAGTCTGACCTTGTAAAATCAATCACTTATGCTATGGCCTCAAATGACTTCTTGAGACATGATCCACTCATTTTAATTTTTCTTCCCCTCCCCTAGCCCTGCTTATCTACCAAGACAATAAAGTCTTCAAAGAAGTGTAGCAAGCATGTGGAGTGTATGATCCTCTGCTTGGTGAATCCCCATGGACTGCCCTTTACTCAATTACATGCTTTGAAATGATTTTATAAACTTGCACCCTGTCAACGATTTCTAGCATCTCCCCTCATCTGGGCAATTTGTAGCGAACTAGCAGCTTCTCTTCTGACATTCCTTGGACCTTCACTTTGCTTCCTTGTTAGTTTTATGAAATTCCAGACTGGGTTTGTGTACCCGGTTTAATTCTTTCAGGTGGGAGCTGTTCTGCATGCCTGGGTATATGTGCAGCCCTTCTGTTGCTGGCTGTCTGCCATTAGAACTTAATGCAACTCACAGATGAAGAAAAACTGAATCATTTGGAATTAAACAGGTTTAATGGCAACTTGGACACTTACTGGTTTCAGTTTAACCAACATGATCCAAATAGTCATTCCACAAGCTATCCTGCAGTGAGCTAGTTGCTGCAGGACTGATTTGCCTTTGTGACTTGTTGGAGGTCTTCTGCTTGAAGGGCTTTTGGGTGGAAAGCCATCCATCATAACGTAACACTGGACAATGCACAGGGATCTATATGCCAGCCACTTCCGTGGTGAGCTTACATCTCTTTTTTTTTTTTTTTTTTAAAGATATCCAGACATGGATCTGGAAGTAGGAACAAAAGATTGGGAATGGAACTGGGTGAGAGTGTGTTTTCCTACCTTGCGAATATTTGTTAAAATTTCTATTCATGCTTCAGTGGGTCACACATGAGACCATCTGCAGAGTCCCAACACAGAGAGGAGGAGAGACTGGCTTTTCTGTGATGCTAATATGTGATAGTATATTATTCATTTTGCTGACAATTCTCTGAGGAGGATTATATTCATTAAAGTGAACGTACAGAATTCCTATTGTTCCTTGATTTATTGAGAATGAACTTTTAAAGAAATCTAGATCCAGATCAACAGGGGCACCTGCCTGCTATTATGGTAGGAGTAGGGGTAAGGGAGGGTCTAAAAAGGTGTAGCTGCATGTGCTTGCACTGGTGGGGATGAGGAACAAGGATGGTCTGATAAGGAGCACTTGTTGATAAACTGATGAAATGAGCAGCTTAGTCTGAGGGGTGAACTTTAAGTAGAATAAGATTGGTTTTGCACTTTTTAGCCACTTTATTTCCCAGCTAATACAAGCACCAGGAGAAGAACTGTAGTGCTTCCAAATAATCCTAATGAACCTCTAATTGGGGAGGAGGATAAAATAATGCAAATACATAATTATGGCTTGAGGATGCACAGTGGACCACAGACATGCCTTACTGGCTTGTTCAGCTGTGTCAGGGTTGGGTTTCAAGCAGGCAGTGAATTGCCATCTTGCCACAAGGTGATGCATGGTGGCAATGTCATTACCAGAGGTTGGAGGGGAGGGAAACGCAGACAAGCTCCCACCACTGGAAAGGAGGATGGTCTTGTGCTTGAAGCATTGGACTAGGACTTGAGGTCTCAGCAGCAGAGCTGAATTGTCTTGCTGTATGACTTTGAGCAAGTCGCTTCACCTGTGTGTGTCTTGGTTTGCGATTTGTAAGATGAGGGTAGAAGTACTTCCTTTCTCCCACCCTTTGTGTTTCTCATATGTGGTTAGATTGTGAGCCCTTGAGGACAGAGATTGGATGGCCCCTACCTATACATACTGTCTGGTGCAGTGGGCTTTTGATTTTGGTTTGGGCTCTAGAAACTACCATAAGACAGGTAATAACAGCTAATGAAGTCACGGTATGTACATTGCATCATAACTGAAAACTGCTTAAAAGGGTAAGATCGTAAAAACCTCACAAAAAATAATTCTTACATTGAAAGTTGTCTTTTTCTTATGTGTTTAACACGTTGATTTTCATGCTTTAACTTTCTTTCTTTCTTTCTTCCTTTCTCTGCAGACCTTTGTAGTACTAAACAGAGGGAAAACACTCTTCCGATTTAGTGCCACACCTGCCTTGTACATTTTAAGTCCTTTTAATCTGCTTAGGAGAATAGCTATTAAAATTTTGATACATTCATATCCTTTTTATTATTAATTGACTTCTGTTCTTCTGTTGTCTTGTTTTGCTGAGAAATTTAATTAACAACCTGTTGTCTTGCTGCTTTGTTCAACTGTTATGTACATAGAGCATGGTCCTGCACTTGATGAAGTTGGTTCAGGATTTCCCAATGGATTGAATGCATAGTGTTCACTTCAGCAGCAACTTTTTATGAATAAATATTTATACCCCTCTAGGCATGACACACCAGGTACGCTTCATTTACAAAGGCGTGCAGTACACTGTGTATACCTGTGTCCATTCTCCAAATCAATGTCCAAAGACTGGAAAATGTCAGAATAGGAATGGTCTGCAGTTATTCTTCGCAAGAGGAGGTATTGAGGTTTATCTAGCTGGCAGTATCTTTAACCAGATTTTGAGCTGGAAATACAGCCAAGCATGCTTTTATTTATGATTATGTTCTATCCATCTCTATTGGTGTGTCTCATACTCCCCTGTCTGGGTAGGTTATTCCAAAATGATCCATGCTGGGCTTCCAGGAACTTTTTCTGAAGTGTCTGATGCTTATGTTACCAAAAGAGAAAATGCTGGATGAACTTGGTCTAGCTAGTCTGGTCATTCCCAGTTTTATACTCTGAAAGTGAACGTAGACCTACTTGAGTCTTGTATCTGTGACATCCTAAAGGCTTCTATATCAAATTGGCTCAATCTACAAGTTGGGCACAAGTTGATGGAGAAGAGGTATAGACTGGACATCCGCAAGAACTACTTCACAGTTAGGGCGGCTAGGAGCTGGAACCAACTTCCAAGGGAAGTG